GACTTCAACTCCCAGAATTCCCCAGCCAGCAAAGCTGGCTGGGGAATCCTGGGAGTTGAAGTCCTCCAGGCTTAACGTTACCAAGGTTGGACACCCCTGATTTAATGTGTTAAGCCAAATCCAGCAAGCAAAATGCAGGACATTTTTTTTTTGTAATATAATGTGTGTAGATCAAACTATGATATTTTTGCTAGCGGACAAAATTGTGGACAGCCTCACACCCTGGGCTTGGGTGTCATGCAGGCAGTAATAATCACATCAGTCTGGGATCAACTTGCCCATCACCACATATCCACTGCATAATTGTCTCATGATTAAGTGCAGAATATGGGGGCTGGCTCAGAGCTGGCTTTGAACTAGTACTTAACAGTGCCAACATTTTAAAGCGGGTGCAGACACAGTACGATAGCACTAATCCACGTTGCCCATAGCAAGTGTTACTGTGGAAAACAATCAAACCTGTCAGCAATCTCCCCCCAAGCCCCCCCTCATTTGCTGCAGAATTTTCTTCCCACACAAAGGACTTTATCCCCTTTCATTCTTAATTATAGCCCTCTAATCTAGCTAAATTTACTGATACGTTCAGGGACACTTTCTGGTTTCCTCTCCCCTCCCCTCCCCGCTTTACAGAACTAAGTGCCTTATCTTTTCTAATGAGATTTGTTTTGGCATATTCTTATAATACTAGTGTATTACCGGGTGTAAAAATAAAAGCACAATTGATTTGATTGTTTATGGTGAAAGTGAGAGAATTAGTGAAAGATGCAAGAGGTTCTAAATATGGGACAGGTCATTTTTTGTTAGGGTCAAGAGAGAGTCTTGGGAGAAATAACTGGGATATGGAATAAGGGAGTAAGAATTTAAAAAAATAGAATGAAAGTAAAATTACTGCAGGAAAAGAAAGTACAAATCCTATATAAAAAAGCAATAGAAGACCGATTAATCACCCAGTGGAATTAATGGAAAGTGGTCATAAGAAAAGCTTCTTAAAGAATTATGTTAGGAAATGCAATATAAGTGTGCTGATTTATGTTAATGAAAAGTATGAAAAGGATGCTGTGTGGAATGAGAGAGTTAAAGAGACTGGCAATGAGAAAAAAATTGCTGTAAGAGAGAGATTACTGAAAAAAATGAGGATAAAAGGGAAAATATTGCATAAATTGTAGAGGAAGAGTTGCAAAGAATGAAGTCAGTAAGATCAGGAGACTTATTATTTTAAAAGGCAGAGAAAAATACAGAACAGTTTTGACTGAAATAAAAAAGTGTTTTTTAAGTGGATAAACATGCCTTAATAAGGAGTTTCCAGCAACTTAAATGGAATTGAAAGTGATTAAATTCTTTATGATGAAATTGAATGAACAAATGCTGGGAAAGTATTTTAGAAATTATAAGGGAATGATTGTGATACATGAAAAGGTTGAAATTAATGCTATAAGTGTAGAAAAATGGATGAAAAGGAAATTATAAATACTGAAATGCCGAACAAAAATAAAGCTATAGGAGTAGATGGTGTAACTGAAGAACTGTTAAAATAAGTTTATGGCTTTACTAATTTTTAACATATGTGTTGCATCTCTTCCTGAAGACTTCATAATTGTATCCTGTTTTCCACAGAAAAGGAAAGATAGCACATACAAAAAATAGAGATTTGTTTCTTAACTGATTAGTTAAGATTAATTAGAAGATATTTGGCAGAATCTGATCGAAAAGGTATAAGAGTTAACAATCAGCAAATGTTAGAAAGTGCAACATGTATAGCAGAAGTACAAACTAGATTTTTACTTTTCAAATCACTGAGAAATGTATTAATGTAAGAAAGATTACTATTTGATGATTTGCAGAAAGAACATAATGAAATGAGTAGGCAGGAAACATGATAGCTGTGGACTGTCATGTAATAGAATTCTTTCCCAAAACAGCTCATAGCAACAAAGATTAAGCAATTACCTAGTCTAGCAGTTGAACAGCCTTATGACTTTCACAGCATGAAGCCAAAATTAAACAATCCCTGTTATAGTATGATATATGACTAAGCCTTTTGCACATTCGCAAACTAAACATGCTTTCAAAATTCAAGGACATTTCAAGTAAATTTCATTCCTTTTGTCGGATATGTGAATGAATCACCTTTAGATTCCTCAGGGCTTCACGTTTTAATGACCAGTAAGGCAGTTGAATGAATCTAGACAATAAGCCACTTATTTTAGTTGTTTGATATCTAGGGCAAAGGATATTCAAAAGGATGCACTTCAGGACAATGGATCACTTCACCTCACATTCTATGGATTTATTTAAATTTTTGTTTACTACAAACTGCAATATAAACTTATTCGTTTGAATGGCAGAAATGATGCATGTTTTTTTAAACAAAGCACAAGATTTGATTGAGGTGAAATAAATGAGTAGGTCTTAATTAACTGATGCAATGTTTTGAGGCAATAGCAGTGGGCCTTAAAATTAATTTTTTAATCAGATCATCATAGGTACATATTTGTGTGTGATTATGGATTGCCCACATGTGTCTGAGAAGTTTGTTCTTAAACAAGATGTGGTATGATAGTTTTACAATCTTTTAGTTTTGAACCAATATTATGTGCCATCAATTCATTTTCAACTCCTAGTGACCTACAGATATTTGAATAAGTGTTTTAATTTTTGGCTTTTACCCAAAGCAGGAGTGGATAGGTTTCTCCTTTATATCCTGTATTTCTATTAATATTTGATTAATTTATACAATGGCCAGTGCAATGTATTCATAAGTTAATTATAAGTTGGAAGATTTCCTGTGCCCTACCTATTTTTAATTAAATGTCTTACCTTTGGCTTTTTCATGTATAATTTCCTCTTATTATATTGCTACAGAAAGGTGAATGCCAGGAAGATTACCTATACCAGCATATCTTCCTTTTTTCTAGATTCCTGCTAACAATATTTCCTGTCAAATTACTCCAATTTAAGGTATGTATTGTCTCATGGTAAAAAAACACCACTACCATAGTGCCTTATCCTTACTCTTATTTAGCTGCTGTGGAGGAATCAGGGGTTTATACTGTGGCAACTGAAACAAGGTATTTTCCTTTTAAGGTATTACCTGTTTTTATGATATATTGAGTCATATTTTAGTTGAGTCACAAGAAAAGGTCTTGCTCACTGCTGCCAGGGGTTCCCTGGTTCTCTAGAATGAAATTAATTGCTTTAAAGTCCCACTAATTTTGTAGTAGCGCTCTGGCTCACAATCTCCACTTTTTTTATTTTAATATTTTAAAAAATTCTGGTGAAATGGACAATAGCCTAGTTCAGCAAATCTTACTTATTTGGTTATTGAAAAATAACCCATAAAATGTTATTCCAGCTATGTCTTAATCTTTGCGATAGCCTAAAGTCAAGAAGTGATCGATGTGTGGATAAAATCTTGCTGCACATGGAAACATGATTGTGATATAAATTCCTGTTAATATTACAACCCTATTATAATACAACATCAGAACTGCAATATTGTTCAATTTTTTATGTATTCATCTTTTCTCGTTTAGCACTCAACTTTTTTTCCGTTTAACTAATTTGCAAAAATAGTCTGAAATATTATGAATCCAACAAATTATTTCAATTGTGCAATAAACCTATCACATTTTTCATTAAATCATTTGATTACTATGGCAGTCTTCTATGATCTAAAACAGTGGATCTAAACAATGCCACTTTGTTCTTAATCTTTTCTAATATTTGTGGTTTGATGGTACATAAATATTTGCCAACCATGGTAATTTCTTTCTATATAGCTCATAATATATTTACTAGTTAAAAAAACATTTGGAAAATCATGAGATTACAATGGTTTTTCGAATAAACTCTCTTGGACTTAATAACTGTTACTTTTGAGTAGACATATGGTAGAATTGCACTGCCACCATGCAGTCCCATTAAGTAAGTTATATAATGGATGCTTGGTATTGCAAACAAATCTGTGAGGGTCTATAAGTATTTTCGTAAAACATGATTACAAACATGAGTGAATGTTTACTTATTTTGCTGTTTTATTTGTTCCCTTACAGCTTTTCTGCAATGCAGCTTAGGATTTTACTTTCTTTTTTCTCTTTAGAATATTTTTTAATGAATTTATATTGTTCTTGAGTTTCTAAAATATTGTCTGGCTTGTAATATCCTGTTGTTAAACTATTGCTTTGATGATGTTATTTGGGATTTCTTTTAAACCTTCTTTCATTCTTTAGAAATACAAATTTGACTAACTGCTGATTTCTATTTCAAAATGTGATCATGCATTCTGGATGATTTTTACAGTATTTACTCAAAAGTCTCTTATCTTGCTATTTCCTCCTCCATGTAAACCACCAGCTCTAAAACAGTACATATTCATGGAATCAGTTAATTTCTATGCTTAACAATTGCTTTTAAGATACTTGCAGTGAAGTGAAAATTAAAATCCAACCATAATACATTAGTCTATATTTTTTGTTTTCCCATCTATATGATTTTTTATTTATTAAGGAAAATAGCTCTCAATAGCCTTTATTGAGAAATCTGATTTTTTAAAAATATTTGTTTGTTATTAAATCCGATTCTGTGGCCCAAATAAAATCCTAAAGGAACAAACCTTCAGAACAATTCTGAAATATGTTTTGCTTACTTATGGAATAAAATTTAGAAAATAAAAAGTAATGTATAACATGACATGCAATCAAAAATTTAAAAATAGATAGGTTGGATAGTGTTGCAAGTAATTCAACTGACTGTTAGATGGCAGCAAAGAAAGAGTTTTCTATATTTGTTTCTGACCTCTGATGGTTATTTGGATTAATGCAACTAGACGGAGTTGCCCAGAGTAAGAAATAGAATACTAGAATAGAATTCTTTACTGGCCAAGTGTGCTTGGACACACAAGGAATTTGGTGCATGTATTGCCTCATTGAAGTGTATCAATAATCAATCCTTCTATATTTCAGAGACACTGAGCCCATAAAATAGTCTATGCTACTTTGAATTCTTGCTATCTCTAGTAATGTTGTGTTTTACAAGGAAGCTACATATTTAACTAACATCAACATTTCTCAAAATCTATCAAAACAGCAGTAGGAGGGGCAAGGCACAATGGAGGAAAAGTTTCCTTTATTTTTAAATACTTCGAAATAAGCTAGTATAGTAAGAACGAAAATACAGCCTTTGAGTTTTATATATTAATTCTAAGCTGGCTACACAAGATAGTTAGCCATCTTTAGAATTTCCTAAACTGTCTTTGCTGTTCTAGTGAAAGAAATATCTAATTACCTTTATCATCTTATTCCATAAAAACACTGACAACTAAATTTTGGGGGATTATCCAGATGACTCATTCACAATTAACTTTGAGCTGAACCACCATTTTAATTGAACTAGAGCCAAGACAGAAATTGCTTTGCCAAAGAAGAGGAAATCGGTTACCAAAGAGAAGACACCATTTCCACATAATTTGCAAATGTTTATTGTGTATAGATGTAAATGGAGAAATAAATATAACTTACATTTAATACATCTCACCATTGTGGAGGGAGACTGTCACTAGATGATCTTGGTGCTTCCTTAGTCTGCTGTCTATACTTTTAAATAGATTCAGACAGGACTCAAAATAGAAAATGCTGTCAAAGAACTGTTCTCTAAAGACTCTTAAGCAGAGGTGTGCCTTTAGTAAAGCAAACATATGGCCACCTCAGGTATGGTTGAAGGGCCAAGGCAATGAAAAATGAACAAAGGAATCTTTAACTCCATCCTTTTCAGTAGGAATAAAAACAGAAACTTTGGCAGAGAATTCTGCAAACCCTATTTGTTATGCAACTGATAGCTGAGGCAGTACTAGAGTTCTGCTGGATATCAGATAAGAAGCTTATGTTATTTTGATTAATTTATATGAAGAAATTTGATGCTGCCCTGCCAGTACAGAATTTGATAGGTTGGTCTATAAATTGGTCTACAAAGTCAGTACAAATCCTACTGAGACTTTATTTCCAGATAAGCAGATGCTCATCTTTATTAGGTCCTTTGTATAGTTGATTATTCATAAATCAGAGGATCCAAATGTGTTTTCAAATTTTCAGTTCCCAGTACTGGGAATTTAGATTTGAATAGTATTCACACTTTATAAATTTATAACCTGGGTTTTTTTTAGTTCCTGAGAAAATGTTCAGGATAGGGAAAGGCAGAACCTAAATTTATATTTTTTATGAGAAAAGCAGCACAATTTTAGATCAATGTGAGAAAGTATTGTTTTGAAAGTTCCAAAATTGATAAATTACTAGTGTCAGTATAACTAAATAAAATACAGCTATTTCAAGTGTTAAGAGGTGGTTTATGGATTATAATTTGCTCATTTTTTTTTTTTGTTTTCATCCAGGTGGGTGAGAACAAGTGATAAATAAAATAATTCATTCAAGCTGACTTGAAAGGTAAGAAACAGAATTATTCCAAATTTTAAGTTTTTACTAAGAGACAAGATGGTCCTTGGTATTTAGGATATCTAATCACTATGTTAATCTGCAATTGTAAAGACACTACAGGATTTGTTTATTTGTGAATACAATTATACAGGATCACACTATAAATATATTAATGTAATACAGATTAAGGCCAAAGTTGTGAGGGTATAAAGTATACACATATATTTTAAAAAGACGAATTCCAACGTAGGACAAGCAGACAGGTGTATTAGGCTGAATCTCTACTTGCATTTTACCAGAAACTGGCCTGTCAAACTTTTTTCTGTCATTTCCCCATGATCTTGCCTTCCTCTCGTCCCAACCCATGAATTACAGCAGTAGCAGCTGAATTCTGGGAGTTGAAGTCCGCCTATCTTAAAGTTACTACGGTTAAGAAACACTGGATTAAAGTAGTATTTTCCACAGATGCCATCCATAAAGGTTCTCTAAAATCTATCAAGCTTTGTCATTCCTTATCTTGGAAGACTATCAGGATACCAGCCCTTACCGGGATCCAAAGAAACCAGAAAGGGAGGGCAAAGGGACCAGCAAATTTCACGCTGCCAGGCGGTTTTTCCACCCTGGAGCAAATGTTACCACAGCTTAACTAGCGAGAACGCCCCCCAAGGCCTCCGCTTCGGGGCCAGCTGGTCCTTTGCGGCCCCTCTTCCTTTCCTGGGCCAAAGATTAAAGGCACAAAACCTCCTAGGTATATTTATGGGAGCGAAGACAAGACCAGCCGCGGCCTCTGGAAGGCACTTCCTTCTCTGATCTTCCCAAGGAGGGCCCAGCGGGACCCACAGACGGTTGGGCAGCGAGAAGGGAAATGCAACCCGGCCGTGTTCTGCGAGCAAGTCGCTCTCCCCGAGTCTCCTTCCTTCGGAGGAGCAAAGCCGGGCTGCCTGGATCCCGAAGTCCTCCCCCCTGGACGAGCAGGGAGAAGACAAACTTTAAGAGAAAATGCCGCCCTCGCTGCCTCCCCTGCGCACCAGGCCTCCTCCTCCTCCTTCCTCGCCGCCGCCGGACAGACACCGGGTTCAACCCCCAGGCGGCCCCGCCTCGTCTGTGAGCTCAGCGGGGGAGCGAGGCGGAAATCTCCCTCTCTGCGGGCCAAGCCCAGCCCTTCCTTGCCTGGGGCCTGGCAGCCTCTCCTTCCCCCTCCTCTCCTCCCCCTTCCCCGCAGCTCTCCCCCCCTTTCCTCACACGCTCGCTTTCTTCTCCCCTCAAAGGCGCTTCCTGCGCGGCGCGGGTCGGCCGAGAAGGGCCCAGCCGCTTGGGGTTTGCCTCCGCCGAGTTCAAGGTACCGGGAAGGGCAGCGGGAGGGATTGTGCCGACGGCTTCGGGGGCTCCAGCCGCCCGTGTCCGGGGCTGGCGGTGGCTGGGGGTATGGGGCGGGGGGGTGAGGAGTCCCGCGGAAGCCGCCTGGCAGGCGGGGAAGGCGGGAGGGCTTGCTCGAGCCAACGGGCGGCGGCGGCGGCGGCTGGGAAGGAGGCACGTTTCGCTTTCGGGGCTCCGCTTGGCTCGACTCCCGGGCGCGGAGAGAGCTTAGGCGGTGGTGGTGGCGGCGGCGGCGGCTCCTCACATTGCTGGGGAGTGAAGTCATCGTGGCCATTGTCTCCCCTGAGCTGCCCGCTGGGCGGCCAGAGGGGGAACCAGCCGAGAACCGTGGGGCCCGCCTTGTTCGCCGAAGCCTCCGGGCAGATCCCCACCCCCAGACCGTCCCGAAGAGGTTCGTTCCTCAGGCTGTGCCCTTGGCCCTTCTCCCCCAGAGCATGCGAGGGGGCTCTTCGGGGAAAGCGAGTAGTCCCTGAGGATCGCAGGAGCACCCCGATAAGTTTTCCGGGAAAGAACTTCTCAGCAATCGACTGCCCTCTTTCCCGGCCGAGTCTCTGAGGCACCTCTCGCTTGCAGGAGGAGGAGGAGGAGGAGGGCGGCGTAAAGCAGCGCCACCTTAAACCAAAGCCTCTAAGTAACTGGGGAAGAAAGCCGCGCTTCCTACGAAAGAGAAAGGTAACCCAGGCCAAAGAAGGACGTCAAATAGAATAGAATAACAAGAGTTGGAAGGGACTTTGGAGGTCTTCTAGTCCAACCCCCTGCTTAGGCGGGAAACCCTACACCACTTCAAACAAAAGTTCATTTTCAACTGACGGGGAAATGTTTTCCACATTCAGCCACAATTATTAATTGGGGAGGGGACGAGATACAATAATCATTTATGTATAGGAAGGCCAAAGGACTACGGCTTCTCCTCCCCCTAAAAATACAATTACTCGAAAGGAATTCATGTACTTCCTCAATTTTTAAAAAAACCGATGTATAACAGTCGTTGTAATTCCTTTGGAAAACTAACCTCTAAGGGGCATGCTTAAATAACAATATTTTCCTGCAATTGTACAGTAATGCTTTATCTGCTAGTAAAGGAACACCAAATATTTAATTGGAAATATTTGGTATTCAAACGACAGATTAGACCAGCCTTTGAAATAGTTGACATTTTACCATGCTATTTGAATATTTTTTTAACAGGTTTAGGCGATAACAGTGGTTTCAAATTGCCTTACTAGAGACAGGCTAGCAGGCTAGCACAGGTTGAAAAGGCAAAAGAGAGATATAAGTGGATGCAATGTGGGAAATTTGATGCTACTATTACACCTAAAGTAAATGTTTTTTTAAAGCTTAGGTCAAATAAAAAAGCTGTTTCTGAAGTACACATGATGTCAGCATAAAATAAGGTGGAATTTTCCTTTCCCGTTCTGCTTAATGGAATTATTGCTAGCTTCTGTGTTAGAAACCTAAGTTTAAGGAAGTACCTTCAGTGATCTGGTTAGAATACTGCTGCTGGAGAAGCAAGGGTTATGTGTATGAGTGAGAATATCCACGTAAATAGTATTGTGTAGTAGAACATATAACCTATTGTTGGCCAATCAGCCTTACCACCTTAAAATGTAAGTTTTGCTATATTACGTCAATTCCTCAACACAGGTCATCTTGATAGTCACTGAAGACAGTAAAAAAAGTGAGTAAAAAAGTCAGGTGGTGGTTCAGGACTAATAATGTAGGAGTGACAGTTAATGTTAAATAGTTTCGTTTCTGTAGTTCTTTTTAAAACCGACATAAAGCATTGTTGAAAAATAGAAGTGGAAAGCCTGGCTCAAACCAATTAACTAATATGAATAGTTGATTGGGAAACTTGTGGTTGGTTTGTCTACCTTGCAGTAGTGATTGTTGCAAGATTGCTATACTAGAACTGAAGCCAAGTACACCTCATTTCTTCATTCCAGTTCCCTGTGGAATTAATGTGCTTATATAGTTTAAGAGAACCCAGGAGTAAACATTTTATCATACATAATTTCTGTCTCAAACTACAAACTAGTTATTTACACTTGTCCTAATATGGCAATAATTAATTAAATAATTAAAGTAATTAAATCAGAATTACCATATTCATTGCATCAATTCTACATCTCAGAATCTCTGTTGATAGTGGCATGCATAGTTAGATGGACTTTAAAAAAACTATGTTAAAAAAGGGGTAAGTTGTTGACACAAATGCCCTTGAAAGTTATAAGAACAGAATGTTAATATTCTTGGAAAATTGTTTTTTTGTTCTTAGACAGTGATATTGGTAGTGAGATTTAAGAAAGGTGGAGAAACACTGCCTTAAATATTTGGGATTTGTACTTAAGTCATTGTGGTCAGAATTCCCTATATAGTCTGGAAGGAAATGTAAGCAAGAAATTCTTGAGGTGGATGTTTCTGTGCTTTGTCTTTGAAACTACATTATCAAGAACTACAATATAAATACAAAACACTTATGAAAAGAAATTAAAATATTGAAATTGTGGTTGTTTGAATTGGAAACAGTTATCTGAGTACATGTTATCTCTTTTTGGAGTCACGCATTTTATTTTAAATATGTATTCTACTTTCACAATAAGTCTGCTTGTACATTTATTAATTTAAAGACTTTTCCTTTAAATTAGTGGTTATGGCTAACTGCAACATGACTGACCCTGCTGTAATGCTTATCTAAAAGACATGACAAAGTTAAATGAATGGGAAAGAAGGATGGGAAA